TTGGAAGGAAATAGCATTTGGGAGGAAATATTGTTATAAGGAGGGAAATGAGAAGGAAATCTATTTTATCTCATAATTTCTAGGAATAAGGCAATTTTCATACAAATTTGTGCAAAAGAAGACTCTGAAAATGCAATTTCCAACGATCTGGAGACTCCATATTTCCAAAATTTTCCGCTCAGCGCCAACCATGGTGGGCCTGGTGGTGCGCCTCGTGGGCCCCCCAAAGCGAGATCTCACAGATGGTTTTTTTTCCAAAGTTGGCAACTATGTATCTAGCACAGAACCCCAGAATCGCTATTGAAATAACAACCAAACCTCGTACCCAGGGTATTATTTCTCAGACTCTACTTGGGGGAGGGGGGCTGCTTAGCGTGGCAGAGGCGAGAGATGCAAGAAACAGTTATGGAATCTCTTTTCGCACCCACAGCAAGTAGCCCCAATTATTATGCTTTTTGTCCCCCGCGGGGGCGAATATGAGCTGATTTTAACCGGCAAAATACAAAGTTATCTGCTATAAATTAATATAATGTGTTTCAATACTAGAGTTTAGAATTCAGGGGCGTAGGAAGCTTTGAAAAGTTGGGGGGGGGGCAGGTTTTGACGGGCACTTTAAAAAAAAAATTTTCGGGAAAAAACATAGATTGAAGTTTTCAAAAGTTTCGTTTGGACAAAAAATGCACATTTTATGAACATTTTTCAGGCACAAAAAGGGCACTTTGCTCCTGGAAAAAGGGCACTTGCCAAAACTTGGGGGGGGGCATGCATCCCCCTGGCCCCCCCGGTTCCTACGCCCCTGGTTTAGATGTTAATTACCAGGTAAATCTGCAATTTTGATAAAAAATTTGAAGGAAAAATGGAAGGATATTTAGAGATTTTTGGAAGGAAATTTTGTGGAAAAAAAAGGAAATTTCGGGTTATGGAGAAGGAAATTATTTTTTTGGGAGTGCAAACACCGGTTTCAATTTGCTGTAGAATTTTACATGTATTACTGTAATCTTATAAAGAATAAAGAAAGACCATTCGTATTCTGTTCTTACAATGGAAAAGAAAGCAATGTTTTGTGAGCTGTAAAGAATGGCCTTTTGCCCGACAGAAGAGAAAATATATGGCTACGAAGACTCTCGGTTTGAGAAAGATGTCGACGAAAATTTTCACTGTTCTATCTGTTACAATGTTCTCAAAGAACCAAGGATGTGCAGAAATAACGAACACATCTTTTGTCTTGCCTGTATCAGTGAACACCTTCGTGTAAACTCTCAAACTTGTCCTGAATGTAACGAGCATTTGAGCGTAGATACGCTTCGCAGGGCACGTTTAGCGAGTAATTATTTGTCTAAGCTCAAGATAAATTGTGATCATGCCAGTCGAGGATGTGCTGAGTTGACCTGTCTTGAAAATCTCGAAACTCATGTGGCAAATTGTGGTTATGCTCCTGTGTTGTGTTCAAATCCAGAGTGTGGTATGGTCATCAACAAACGAGAAAGAGTCCATCATGAGACTGAAATTTGTCGACATAGAAAAGTGAAGTGTCATGACTGTGGACAGATACTGGAAGATGTGGGAACATTGAAAGGAAGTTTAATGGAACTGGATGGGAAAGTCATGAAAGCAATGAAGGAACTGGATGGAAAAGTGGATCAAATCAAACAAGAAGTTAAGAAAGAAGTAAAAGATGTAAAAGAAAGTGTTTCAAAAGTGAACAAAGATGTGGACGAAGTCAAAGTGATGACGAGTCAAGTGTTAGAGAAGTTAAATATGCTTGAACAGCTTAACAAACTGCCATCTCCGACTGCGGAAATGTTGAAGACACCAAGGGAAGACATTTTGCTTGCAGGTGGTGGTTACTTTTTCAGTGCAACTAGTAAAAGTGTGGAAATATATTCCTGGGAGAAGAACGGTTGGTTTGAGGTGTCACCAATGAATGAAAGGCATTGTGGAGCTTCATCATTTATTTATAATGATCAGTTGTTTGTTGTTGGGGGAGAGCATAGTAAGACAATAGAGACCTTGGATCTCAATAAAGTGCCTTTGAAATGGATGAAATGTCCAGGGGAACTTCCTTATTATGGTGATGATCATCAAACCGTTGTTTACCAACAGCGTATCATTCACATTGGTGGATATAAATACGCCCAAGGAAGACGGTCTAACATGATTGGTGAATTGCAACTTATGCATCAGTCAATTCTAGCATTGCCCATCCCCCCCCCCGGGCAACCCCCGGGCATTTGCACTCTTTTTTTGCCCGGGGGCCGGGCATTGGTACTTGCAAAGTTGTCCCGGGGGCGGGGAATTGTTTACCGGCCGGGAATTTGACTCAACCGGACGTTTCTGCGACGAACACGTGCTATTATAATAAAATGGCGTCGAAGAATTCGGGCGTAAAAACGAGGATTTTGTCGATATTTTCATTCACAAAACGTCACACCAATCGCACATGAGAACTAATTAAAGTTGTGTTTAACTATCTAGCATAAAAACACCTGAATTCATAGTACAATCCTTGTTTTATATCTTGCTACGTGATTGTATATTAACCACTGAACCGATCGAGCACGTTTTTCATATTCAAAAGTTGGGATGACTGCTGTAGCTTTTTATATACGAGGAAGCTAATAATGTTATGGAAGTTTTGAGATCTAAAATACATTCTATAAATGAGTCGGTGTGCGCTGGGGCCGGGCATTTGTCATCTTATTTTTTGCCCGGGGGCGGGGCATTGCCACGCTTTTTTTGCCCGACCCCCGGGAATTGTCAACTTAAAGAAAAAAAAAGTGCAAATGCCCGGGGGTTGCCCGGGGGGGGGGATGGGCAATGCTAGAATTGACTGATGCATTACCTCACCTGGCACTATGAAAAAGTTGTGCCAAATGCCTGAGCCACGAGATTCTCATGGTGCCGAGAGTTTTGAAGATAAGGTCACGATTTTGGGAGGAGAAGATGATAACAGTTGTCCTTTAAATAGTGTGTTGGAGTTTGATGTAAAGAAGAATGAATGTAAGGAGATGCCACCATTACCACATCCCATGACGAAAATGGCAACTGTTCACTGGAGAGATCAAGTAGTTGTGCTTGGAGGGCGTGATGAGGATATTCAAGCTCTAAATGATGTTTTCATGTATGACTGCAAGACGGGCAAGACCACAGCTTTACCATCCATGTTGGAGAAGAGATATGAATGTTGTGCAGTTGTTACTGGAAATACCATTGTAGTGATGGGAGGTGAGAATGAGAAAGAAGAACATCTCAGTTCAGTAGAGTGTTTTACAATGGGAGGTTCTACATGGGAGTATCTTCCTGCCATGAATGAAGTCAGGTTCAGAGCAGTTGCTGAAGTTTTACCTCCCACAAGAAAATATGTGTAAGTTTGACACTTAGACACACTGTTAAATGTTTATTCAAAATGCATAAGATTGTCTTAGAACAGGTCAAATTTCCTCATTTTAATTAACCACCTAAGAGGGAATTCTTGACTAAGGTAATGTTATACAGAGTGTCTCAACAAAAGGTAATCTCTGTTTGGCATGTTATTGTGTATTACGTATATATATGTATGGCCAAATATAGGGGTGCACCGGATTTGGAATTTTCAAATCCGGCCGGAACCGGATTTGGACAAAAATTCCGGCCGGATTTGAGATAAACCGGTAATGGCAACAATTGGGGGATAAATCAGTATTCAAAATGGCGGTTTATGTTTTTTACTATTTTTAGTCAGTTTAGATTTTTGATTGTGTTTAAACCTTTTTTAAATATATTTTTGTTAATAACTTAATATTTTGAAATAGTATAAGTTTTTTTTAAACTTTAAAGCTGCCAAATTGGTGAATTTTTTAAGGTGAAAACAGAAATTTAAATCCGGCCGGATTTTCTCCATTTCAAATCCGGTGCACCCCTAGCCAAATATGATCAGATTTAACCCATTGAGTGCCAGTGCTCTCCCCTTGACAAGTAAAATCATATGGCATTTATAGGCAGAGTAAATTAATAAAGTAGGACACAGCGACTTTAATCGGTTAACTAGACGCAGAGGTTCTGATTTACCCTGGGCATAGCAATTAAACAGTGTACATTAGGCACAATGTAACTTAATGGTTAAGTGACTGGTCGAAATAACATTTTTCCACCATTTGGAATTGCCTGTGAAACTATTGTCTGTGTATCCAAATTATTGTTATTTCAATATTGATTGGTTATGTTTTCATTGCAAGACATAGTGTAATAATGACTAAGACTGAAATGAACACAGTTTGGGAAGGTTGTAGGGTGTTGTAGATGGAAATTTTTGAGTGGAAATTTATAGACATTTATTTATTAGACCAGAATCGCAGGACTTCGGGTCCGATTCTTGCCCGGGACCTATAGTTGCATAAATAAATGTATATAAATTTCTACTCGATAGTTTCCATCTACAAGACCATTATTCATTCGAAGATTGTGTGGAGGGTTGACCAATCAAAAGTGCATCTTTTTCAATTATTAAATTACTATTAATTAAACTACAAAATAGTAGTTAAGCGTTTTATACAACTGGTCCCTGAAATATTTCAACTTCTTAGATAAATTGTTGATCCAAGTATTTTATAAGGTATTAGAAGTTAGTATATAATATGTAATAAAATGAAAATTAAAATTTGTTGCAGTCTTTTGTATATTCTGTACGAAATAATGAATAGGTTAATATTAAATAATAATATTCCTGAACAATTTATGTGTGAACCGTATTGATCCCCTGGGTGCCTGGCTAAAAGCGCCTTTATGAGCGGATATTTACGATTTTCCAATACTCTTTGATTGAAAATTGCCGTTTATAACCGCATTCACGTATAAAAATCCGTAGATCTGAAGGCTCTTCACTTTTTCTCTGCCTTCCTTGGGTACGCCTTGCTTGCATCATTTCTTCATTAACCAAGAAGTGTATCTTAATAGACCTTTAAGGTAATTACGTCACGACATGTGATTAGGTGAACTTTTGGTATAAAAAACAAAGGAAAACTAATTTGCACTTCACCTAATGACATCATATCTGGAAACTTTGACAGTGAAAAAGTTGACCAAGATGAGACTTTTTATTATAAAGATATATTACATTTCTTTTTCGAATGACCCAAATATTACATATACCAAAAATCATATTTGTGGTTAGTCGTACTATTGTGTAGAGTATAACATGAATACTCTCTACATTATATGACAAACCAGTTTCATATCATTTAAAATTATTCTGAGACTGCAGAGTACTACAAATCATTCATTGTCCTGGGCGGGATTCGTACTTCCGGTTTCTAGACCGCCGGCTAGGCATTGACCTATCAAGTCAACGGGGATTGGTAGCGAGTCTTAAGTGCACGAAATATTTTTGCGACGACTTGACGCTTGTTTTGGAAGCAATTCCTTTTCAGAACCATCCTATGAAAAACTAGTTAGATATGGAAATCTTGACCTTGTTTGACTGAAAAACTGGTTCTGAAATTCTATGACGAGTTCAAAGCATTTTTGGCTAAACTGCATGAAAACAACATCAAGAATAGGATGCGGACATTTGTATTGCCGTGCAAGCTTGTCGGACACATAATAAACAATTCTTCACAATTAAATTTACAATTTCAAGATTATAATTTATAGCTTTGTCTATGGCCACAAGAATGCCAGAATGAGCATAATATTCTGAATCGGTCTTCTCAATACTCTACCTCGGTATTAATCTCAAAATAACCTATACATATCACCGTTTCTATGTACATTCCGTAACGCTAGAAAATTTATGTCCTGAACGAGACCACAGAGTCCAGCAGATCTGTGAAACATACAGTGTCAGCATCACCTGGTAACATTTGGTTGTCGGGTATCACAATGAACTTAATCATATTTAGTGTCAAAATCAGAACTAAACTCGTTCATTTTCTAGGACACTGGCACAACAATGGTACTGCGTGAACTTGCAAAACTAAACAACACAAGACAAGTCCGTGTTCATACGATATCATTTAACTGTGACGACAGGTGAGAGTCTAGGGTTCATCTGATGATAAGACAACTACATTCATATTACAGGAACCAGAGATGAAATGCACATAAACAAACAACGTTACATCATCAATATTCTCTTATTTTTTCAGCTCTGCAAATAAATTTCTTCAACTACTTGCAGGCCAGACAGGAGGAAGGTAAAAGTGCAAAAATATTCTCCATTTCATTTATACCTCGTTAAAAAATAGAGAGGAAAAATCAGCTGCGAATTGAGAGAGATAACAAGTACCTGATTGGTTTATATTTTATCACGTGATTGCTTTTATATTCACTAGTATAAAAGCTCATGTAATTCTCCCGATCTACACTACCACAGAGTAAGTGCATACAGAGGTCACCAGGGACCGCGGAGCGTTTGGGGAATTGGTGGGGCTTACGCGAGCGCCGAATACCGCTTGGGGTGTCTGTGGGCATCCCCCCCTCCCCCCGGAAAATTTTGAAATTTAGGCCTCTAAAATGGCTGCAAATGCTTCTAAATTTAGCGGTTATCGGAAAATAGTAGACACTTTTGTGTCCAAGTTATTTAGGAAACTACGGAAAAATTATTGATGGGGCTAAAGCCCTGGTAACATAGGTTAATTTAGCGTAAGGGATTTTCTAAGTCCGCCATGCATGCTCTTAGCAAGTATCCTAAGGAGAGACCGTCACCCCCTGAAAACAAATTGAAATTTAATGGCAAAAATTTTGCAGACCCAACCATTAAAAACTAAAAAAATTTGATTATCCAACCTCAAATATCAATTTAAAAAATAAATACCCATCCCCGGCCATGTCTTTTACCACTTCTGTGACATGAGTTCGATAACTGCTTGTGCAGTTTTCTGCAGTTTAAAGTTTCATGTTGTCTGCACATGTACTCTTTCTTTGGAGACACCACTTGTCTTCCAACAAATCGGAAAATGATCAAGATAGTGACTTTGATTGATTTACATATTGTATCGTATTGTATTGACATGTGATCGTTGACATTGCTTTTTAGTCTCCAATATTTCTGTGAGTCATGCTTTGGAAATGACAATCAAATTTTATCATCCAATCCTTGAGTTGTTTTGTTTTGTTTTTCATTTACCCAACCTTTTACTCACTCAAAATTTTGTTTACCCAACCCTTTTCTCTTCGGTGCCTCCCCCCACCATAAATTAGAGAGTTTGGCAAATACAAGGGCAACGGCAATATGGTCATCAACAATAGCGTTAATCCTCAAAGACAAAGGCGAATGTAAATTACATGGTCTTAAGCGTTGTGCAATGCCGTAGTTGTTGAAACTAGTACGTGATTTGCATCATTTTCACGGTGCATGACTAAGGCAACAGGTAATTCGTTCGATGTTATTTGAGGTGTTTTATTTGAATTCGCGGACTATTTTTACTTAAGGGTACGTTTGAAAGAAACAGGAATACTTAAAGAGGCAAACTAAGTGTAGTAACGTATACTTTGGCTCAAATACAACAATATAAGCAATTATATTTTTCCCGTTGTCGTTGTCGTTCTAGGTTGCCAAACTCCCTAATGACCGTTCCCTAAAGAGAGCCAGATATGCGCAGTAAAAACTACCTTATGGTTTTCCCGCGGAAGTGAGACCTCTGCATGTTGCTTACTCTGTGACATTAGAGAGTTTAAGTTCGACTACCAATACCGATACCAATGTTTTCACTTCCGTTCTCATTTTGGTATCGGGAATTTTAAAGCGTTAAGTTATCACGACAGTTAAAGTATAGAACACATTAACCGTCACCGAAAAAGTGCGGTATACTAAACGGCAGCTGAGCTAAAATTCCGACTAAAACATGACTCAGGCGATGCTAATAAACAAATAGTTTACATGTTTATCGTAAAAATTATCAAATATCCGATTTGTATGAGTTTATCTTACAATTCCCCCGACTTCCAATACAAGGCCGACTTCCAATACAAGGCCGACTTCGGTAGTGGTGACTTCCAATACACTTGTCCTCGTGCTTCTTGCGAGCAGAGAGCATGCGCATGACATGTTGTTAGTATCGGTATTGGTATCGGAAGTCGAACTTAAACTCTCTATTACTAACGTGCCGACGAAGTGCCGTCGCTCGAAAGGTCGAAGTTCTGCTTATATTTTTCAGGTATTTCTATCCCCCTCAATCCACAGCTGTCTCGGTTATCCTCGCTACCTACACTGACACAGACAGTTTGAGATTGTGTCACAAAGGAAAAATCAGAGCATACTATAAGATAACATGCAGTCAATGATAAGTTTTCAAATTTTTTTTAGATTTCACCGAAGTCAGTCAGAGGCTGCCGGTCATCTGCTAGCTCACAGATTGTTGACAGAAAAAGTTCGTTCTGACGAGGTAACCAGTGCAGACTGCTCCATTTACTGTTCGGAGTATTCCGAATTTTTGGAACACTTTTTTTTTTTTTTTTACTGACCTAGGGCCCATTTTACTCAGGAAAATTCACCATTATTAACTCAATTACAATTGGCAAAGCAGCAGGCTAGCATTCAGGAGGTTTCGAGTTCAATCCCCGCGTGTGACACGTAACAGCTGTAACAGCTTTTATTCAGCAAAACAACTGCAGATCACTTGCTATGAACTTTTATAATTTTCAGGCTCTCACAGTACCAGTATTCGAAGGAGATGACTTACGTCGGTTAGTCAGTGAAATCACTCTGTGTAGAAAATTTCTTTTGCAAGCAAGATCGTACAGGTATGCCTAACCATGCATAGATGTTTCACAAGATAGCTGCATACCTCGTCTCAGTCCACTTATAGCGCGGTCTGGTTTGTACCTTCTTGCCGTACCTCCCTCTGGTGATTACGTTCTTAATTGTCAACGGTCGTACCCTGAACCATGAGCACCCTCCTTCCTCCCCCCCCCCCAGGTCTGGTTAGGTCCATCCTTAATTGCTAACCCCTGTTTCCAACCATTAACCCTACCTGAGATGGACTGAGATAGTTTATGTATCCTAAGATGAAACCAGGGCGCTTATGAAACTCACTGCGAATATTAACATCTTGTGAACTCAAGATTCGAGCTATTTAAACAAGATAACAAAATTCAAGATAATATTTCGACTTTATTGCAAAGTCATTTACAAAAGCGTGCTGCGATCTTGTTAAAATATGACTTTGTCGAAATAACAAGTCGAAATATTACCCCGAATTTTGTTATATCTTGTTTAAATAGGTCGAATCTTGAGTCTACAAGATGTTAATATTCGCAGTGTGTTTCATCTTCTACTTTTCGAAGTTGTGTGCTGGTGAAGGATTGTGTACACATGTGTTTAATGTTTTCTGAAATTTTCTCATTTTCTGTAAATTTTACACAGGACACTGCTTCACGAGTACGCTCAGGGCGCCGAGAAAAAGCAGGATCCATCGAAACAGTACTTTCAGACAAGTGCGTAGAATATATCAAATATCATGTTGAAAAATCCTATCACATCTCTAACAAAGTTTTGTCCAGAAAGTTTTGCTTAGATTTTTGCAATGTTTTGTTTTTCAGGTGCGCCAAAATCGTCCAAAATATCCCTAGGTAACCCTACAACGAGTGAAATATTGGCGAACTAACTTTTGTGATATTCACACCGTCATCCAATCATCCATGCTCAATATGGTGAATGGACAAGGATGGCCTGTCGAGCGGAACATCAACGCATAAACCTCAGATCTGGTCACCACGTTATGTTCACAACTTGTGCTGTGAGATCGGTTGGAGTGTGGGGGGAGGAGGGCGTTAGATGGGGGCAACTTTCCTCACGTCCTCCTTGATAGGAGGTCTTTATTGTGAGAGCACCGAGTCCCTTCTCAAGTCCGGGCTAGATATGAGTACAAATTTTAAAACATTAGCAGATGTATTCATTTCAAAATATTCAAGAAATAACATTGGTTGTAATATAGGACAATCTTAGTTAAATGTTGTATAATATTAGTTTTTTGTAGTTTCACTGAAAAACAACATGTTCATTTTTATTGCGCAGAGCTTTTGAGCCGTAAGCCCGGATCTTCATCCGTACACTGGTGACGATTCGGATTTACGGATTGAGAATTTTACGATAATCACTCGGGGTGCGATAATTCGAGATTTTTAGCTGTACTTGAGCTGGTACAAACTTAATAAGACTCCAGGTGAACTTAGTCTTTAAGATAAAGTACTTTAACATAAAGTATTCATTTCGAAATATAAAACTGAGTTAGATCATGAAGGATCACAAAAATATGCAATTCACTCAAACATTCCTCAGTGCCATCTTGTCTCATCATAGATTGTAAAATAACTGGATAGGAAACTTCCTGACGTCACAGTCTAAAACCTAGTTGCAATCTGTGACGTCACGTGTATTGCCAAAGTTCTCGGTATTTTTGTTGTTTCGCTATATTTTCCGCTTTAAAAGAGTAATATTGAAGTATAAACTGGTCTAATTGTTTTAAAGACATGCCTAAGCCACGACAAAGTATTCAAGGTAAATGTTTTTCGTCTTTGTTTTGTATTTTTTTACATTTGTAGCTACGAAATTGGCGTTGCTAATTTTAACGAAATTTGCGATGCATTTTTCACTGTTTAGTGCTTGAAATATTTGCTAAAATTGACCGGGAATACTTAGAGATTTCATCGTAGAATGGCCTAGTTATATTTATTTGCTCTTTGACAAAAATGTTTAGCTGTATTATCGCTAAACATGCCGTTTTTGAGAATTTGGTGTGCAACTAGGTTTCAAGCCATCATCCCATTAAAACATTAGGGCACGTCAGCTAGTTTCCTATCCATGTATTTTATTATCCATGGTCTCATCAATCCAATCATGTTTCAACAATGACAGTTTTACATAAATACTGAAATGTTTGCTGGTCATATGCGCGATGGTACCAGCAAAATGTAAAAGCTGTAAACAAAGATGTATACCAGACCTCAACATCCGCATACCTGGCTTCAATAACGTAAGTAGGCGAATTTATAGCACGCTGCTATTAATACTTTTACACTGTAAATACGACTAATATAGGATATATTATAGTATATGTATTATATAATTTTGGACATATTTTGTGGTAATATATCACACACGAAAATGACCATATTATTTATTTTTGATTTGCATCTGACGTCATAGCGGCCATGTTGGTGGAACGCTAACAAAAGAATATCATTAGCAGCTATTGAAATATTGTATTGGGGTGTGTTTTCCTCCGACATGACCTCTCAATAGTGATTTGAAATCTCGAAAAGTGTGCTAAAACTACGAGCGCTAGCCGAGTTTTTTACCCTGCTTGAGGTGTTTTAAATCCCTCAAATCAACCCATTTTTGTGTATTATATAACTTTCAAATGAAGAAGTATTTATTAAACATAATTTCAGGGTGATATCAACTTTCATGGCAATGCTTTCGTTTGTGTTTTACTCATGAATTAAGTTTGGGGAAGAGTGCTATTGAACTGATAAACATTTATGGCAACGTTTAACTTCCATATAACACGACAAAGTCAAAGAATTCTTCCGTTTTTTTAGCAAGTCCCAGAGGAAAATGTTTTCGTTTGGTAAACTTATAATTATGTGCATATATTAAACTTGAATGCTCTAGTCAGAATTTTACGGAACAAAACGGCTTTTAAAAAATACATTGCTTGTCCTTTGTTATGGCAAACCCCGCAGGAGAATCTTTTGTTCTCATTGAATAATCATACATTTTTTCCATACAATCAACCAGTCTGTCTGCAAAAGTCAGACGACGAAGAACTCGAATATCTATAAACTCTGGCAAACAATTCGACAAACGATGAGAATGTAAATGACTCTACAATTCAACAATCAGACCAAACGAGTACTTCTAAAGACATGGCGAGGTCTTATGGCAAATATGAAAAGTTGAAAGACATCCCAGACAATTTGTACGGTATGTTTGTTTGCGTCGGACTTTCGCTTGTAAAGACTTAAATATTTTGTGGTTTACTTTTTGGTTTTGCATCGAAGTACAATAAGGCCCGGTTTAGACGGCGAACTTTTCATGCGCCGAATCTAATGCAAGGATTAAGTGCGACGTTGGAGCGGCGTCTAAATCAATTAAGTTCGGCAGGTTTTGATTAAGTTCGACACGACTCGAAGATGCGACAGGACAAGTCGTATATGCGACACAGGTTCGACATTGATTTAGACGCCGTGCTTTTCATGCGCCGAACCTAATGCATAATTATTTTTTAACATCATAATATGATTATCATATATTTGCATTGTAAATATTTCCAACATAATGTCTTCGCAATTTGGTACGGTGCAATTAAGTTCGACGTCTAAATCAGTTTCCCATATTTTGCCGTATCTACGACAATTAGATTCGGCGCATGAGAAGTTCGCCGTCTAAACCGGGCCTAAGGCAGCGTTTACACTGTACCGTTTTCGTAGCGTTCTCGTATTGTTCGAGAGAACTAGACTATTGTCTTGCGTTCCCTTGAGGATTAAGAACAATACGAGAACGCTACGAAAACGGTACAGTGTAAACGCTGCCTAAAATAATATACAAACGAGAACCGCTGGAATAAGTTGTCTTATGCTGGAATAAGTTGTCTTATTCTTGGGTTTCACTACAGCATGCAGTGAATCTGACGGGGGTCAACCTCAAATGTATTGATGCTTATGCTTTATATGAGAAACGAGCTGGTCAGGTGCGATCTCAGTCACGTTTGATAACATTTTCCAGATCAAGGCTTTATTCCACCTGACTGGGATGGACATTTTTTGCCGATTTTGACCCGCTATAATATAGTATTGACAGTCGTATAAACACAGATAAAATTCATCCCATTCAGGTGACCTTTCCGGCAAACTGAGCCTGGGAACGAGGTTGCTCATATGCATGAACATGCATTCTCGTACCCAGAGCCCTTCTTACGCGTGGTGCGACGAGGGGCTCTGGCCAAATCCATATCAAACTGGCATCTGATTGGCTACAACGAAGGTTATTGTTCTAATACCGGATATATTCTTTTACCATGTTTTTATGGTATCCGGTTTTGGATTTGGCCAGAGCCCCTCGTTGCACCGCGCGTAAGAAGGGCTCTGGGTACGAGAATGGTGAACATGCAGTCCCAAAGATCAATCTTGGATTATTTCATTACTCCATTAGTGGATGTAACCTTTCGACTAGGAAAATTCAAATTTTTATTCATAATTTTTGTTACTCGTGTCATTAGGTCTTGATGGAAGATTAATATCTTCAGGTAGCAAATTCTTTTGTTCGTTTTGCAAACACTTTTAAAAACATAACCCAATAAAATTTTAAAAACATAACCCAATCATTTAGGCAATAGCCTGTTGGGAAATCCGCTCACCAATATTAAGTGAGAAACTCGCTAAACAATAAACAATAAACAGAAAAATGCAACTATATTGCCGGGCCATCTGGCTCTGCATGGCAGGAATCGAACCTAACGGCTTTGCGATTCCGGCGGTACAGCCACTCTAATCAACTTAGCTACAGAGTCCAGTTGTCGAGCGGTTAGCACTATTTTCTATCCAGCAAACTGACCTGACGTCATTTTCGCAAGATAGAAGAGGTGTTAAATGGCTATGTAACTAACCCAAACCCTACCCCTACTCTAACCCTAACCTCAACCCTAACTCTAACCCTAACCGAATTAATAAAAAAATCCAAAAAGAAACAACTTTACAAAATCGATAGGGCGGTTTGCTGGATGGAAAAAAGTGCTATCCTTGTCGAGCTGTAACCGCAAGTTCATGTATATATACTATAAGGTGATGCCAGTCAGCCAGTGTAAGGTGTATGTGAGGAACCATTATGCCACTATCGTCGCATTTTTCGCAGCTGCTCTAGCTCAAGTCCAAAAATGTATACAATTTTCACTCGGAATTTCTATCTACAAAAACCCCTGTAACATTTACTTCTATCGAACGAGGTACTGATTAAGAATTTGTTGCTTTCTTTCAGACGAAGACACCAACGTTGATGTAGGAGATTCTTTCGATGAAAATAGCAACCAAAATGATGTAAGTGTGCAAGTAAAAATAATTTATTAGACTGTTTATTCGACCAAACATTGCTGGTAACTTTGGAGAGGTTCAGATTTGACTTCCACTACCGCTACCATGCACTACCATTCACGGGATTAGGACGCATCTGACTGGTTAATCAGGTAGTAGAAATGCATGGTCCCTTCTTAATAGTAGCGGTAGTGGAACCTCAAATTTGAACCTCTCTATTATCGCACTTTTTCTGTGTTTGTTTCAATGATTGCAAGATTGCAAGTACCACGCAGGCACTTCATTCAAGTAGCACGCAGATATTCGGTCAAGTACCACACAGGCACTTCAGTCAAGTAGCACACAGACACTTCAGTCAAGTAGCACACAGACACTTCAGTCAAGTAGCACAATTAACCACATGAAATTTCCATGCCCAATATATTCAAACCCATGATTAAGTAGGCATATGTGTCTGCATGTCTGAAAAACGATTGGACTGGTGGAACCGAGGAATGTTTCAGTCGTGTTTGTATATGCAGTTATGCTGTCTTGTTTTAACTCGTAGTTTCATGTTGGTATTTTACAATAAGCTGCCGTGGTTTGTACTGAATGAATACCTCTCAGAACCCTGTACTTTATGTATTTTATTTCCAAGACAAAGTACATCTTGAGTCTTGGCAATAATCACTGGACTACCAGTCAGGTACGACTAAAATCTCGAATTATCGCGCCCAGGAAATTGTATATGTCTCAAATTGTATATAGGAATTAGGAAATAACACCAGCATCTGTTACGAAATTGATGTCATGACCTTTGATCATATGATTTCACATTTCCAAGTATTATGAACAATCTCGGTTTGTTACAATCTCGTTTGTTATTGCAAAACCAAAGCTATAAAGGCGGAAGTGTTTCAAAAACCTGGCCTATCTTTTGTCGTCGACGTATTTGCTGTAAAGTTTAAGATAAATCTAAAAAAATACCATTCGTATTCTGTTCTTACTCTTACCATGGAAAAAGAAGCAATGTTTTGTGAGCTGTAAACACTATGGCGATTTGCCCGACAAAAGAGAAAACATATGGTTACGAAGACTCTCGGTTTGAGAAAGATGTCGACGAAAATTTTCACTGTTCTATCTGTTACAATGTTCTCAAAGAACCAAGGATGTGCAGAAATAACGAACACATCTTTTGCCTTGGCTGTATCAGTGAACACCTACGTGTAAACTCTCAAACTTGTCCTGAATGTAACGATCATTTGAGCGTACATACGCTTCGCAGAGCACGTTTAGCAAGTAATTATTTGTCTAAGCTCAAGATAAATTGTGATCATGCCAGTCGAGGATGTGCTGAGTTGTCCTGTCTTGAAGATCTCGAAACTCATGTGGCAAATTGTGGCTATGCTCCTGTGTTGTGTTCAAATGCAGAGTGTGGTATGGTCATCAACAAACGAGAAAGAGTCCATCATGAGACTGAAATGTGTCAGTACAGGAAAGTGAAGTGTCATGACTGTGGACAGATACAGGAAGATGTGGGAACATTGAAAGGAAGTTTAATAGAATTGGATGGCAAAGTGGAAGCAGCAAATAAAGAAATGAAGAAAAGTGTGGGTAAATTGGAAGGAAGTTTAAAGAAACTGGATGGAAAAGTAGATCAAATTAAGCAAGAAGTTAAGAAAGATGTAAAAAATGTAAAAGAAACTGTTTCAAAAATGAGCAAAGATGTGGACGAAGTCAAAGTGATGATGAGTCAAGTGTTAGAGAAGTTAAATATGCTTGAACTGCTTAACAAACTGCCATCTCTGACTGAGGGAATGTTGAAGTCGACACCAAGAGAAGACATTTTGATTGCAGGCGGTGGTGAAATTTTTAGTGCAACTAGTAAAAGTGTGGAAATATATTCCTGGGAGAAGAATGGTTGGTTTGAGGTGTCACCAATGAATGAAACGCATTCAGGTTCTTCATCATTTATTTATAATGATCAGTTATTTGTTGTTGGAGGAATGCTTAGCAAGACAATAGAGACCTTGAATCTCAATGAATTGCCTTTGAAATGGATGAAATGTCCTGGAGAGCTTCTTTATGATGGCTTTGATTATCAAACTGTTGTTTGCCAACAACGTGTGATTCACATTGGTGGATATTGTTCTGACCAATTGAGCACTTCTAACATGATCAGTGAATTGCACCTTACCTCACCTGTCACTATGGAAAAGTTGTGCCAAATGCCTGTGCCACGAGATTCTCATAGTGTCGAGAGTTTTGAAGAGAAAGTCGTGATTGTGGGAGGAGAAGATCGTAATGATCATCCATTAAATAGTGTGTTGGAGTTTGATGTAAAGAAGAATGAATGTAAGGAGATGCCACCATTACCACATCCCGTGACGAGAGTGGCAACTGTTCGCTGGAGAGATCAAGTAGTTGTGCTTGGCGGGCGTGATGAGGATCGTCAAGCTCTGAATGATGCTTTCATGTATGACTGCAAGACGGGCAAGACCACAGCTTTGCCATCCATGTTAGAGAAGAGATATGAATGTTGTGCAGTTATTACTGGAAATACCATTGTAATCATGGGAGGTGAGAATGAGAAAGGTGAAGCTCTCAATTCAGTGGAGTGTTTTACAATGGGAGATTCTACATGGGAGTATCTTCCTGCAATGAATAAAGCCAGGGACGGAGCAGTTGCTGAAGTTTTACCTTCCACAAGAAATTATGTGTAAGTTTGACACTTAGACGGATTGTTAATTGTATATTATAATTATATATCTTGACTAAGGTGAAGTTATAGAGCGTTTGCACATGATGTCACAGCCGCCATGTGGGTGTTCCAATTGACCACCTGCATAATAGACAAAATTTTGATCTGAACAGTTTAGACAAATATTCCATCACAGCTTGAAAGAGCATCGCAAAATTAGTAATATTCCAAAGTTTCGTTGCAAAATGTTGTAAAATGCGGATAATATAGCCTTGCGAAGTTTGCAATTTTCAGTCATTTTAAATTACAAACGGGAAATTGACAGCCCCAAAGGGTATTGGGCTGTCAATTTCCCGTTTGTAATCTAAAATGACTGAAAATTGCAAACTTCGCAAGGCTATATTATCCGCATTTTACAACATTTTGCAACGAAACTTTGGAATATTACTAATTTTGTGATGCTCTTTCAAGCTGTGATGGAATATTTGTCTAAACTTGTTTAGATCAAAATTTTGTCTATTACGCAAGTGGTCAATTGAAAAGAATTTTAATTAGACTCTTTTGTCCATGGGCGTACCGGAAGGAAAAAATTAGGGGGGGGCGGAAAGAAATTTGCCCGACTTTGGGATTATGCCCTACTACAATCTTGGAAAAAATATTTGTAGACTTTTCGAAAACTACACCCAAATTTGAAAACATATGATGAAAATGTGAGCATTTTTCAATTAAAGCAACTATTTACTTTAAATTACCCCCTTTCCCCCCCGCCCCGAAACAATGTTGGTTCAGGTAAAGTGGATTTGCAACACATGTCACCTAAATACCAACATTGTATAAGGGGGGAGGGGGACAAAGTTTGAAAATTTAAGAAGTCTACTAATTTTTTTCCAGGATTGTAGTACCTAAAAAATTTTTTCCGGAAAAATTATTTCGGCGACCTCCCTCCCCGCCAAAAAATTTTCGGTCAGTGTACCATTTTAGGGGTCAAAAAAATTTTCCGGACATACCAAAATTTTTCGGAACATCACACAAATTTTCCAAACAACACAAAATTGACCACAAAATTGACTGAATTTTCGACTAAATTGACAGAATTTGTCCCATTTATTTTTATTACAAACCAAAATTGCCCGACTGTTGATCGAATATTGCCC